GTGCTCCACATGGCCAGCTTGGGCAAAAGTACATTTTACCGTGTCAACAGCATGATAAATCTGGGCACCTACGTAGTGTTTCGTATCAACACTCTGGCCTGGATGACCCGCTGGCTGGTGCTGAATCGTGACCTCATCCCCTTGGTCAGCTACACCATCGGCAGTGTGGGTCTGGCCATCATGACTGCCATGAACATTGTGCTGTTTTACCGTCTGATGAGAAGTGACTTTATGAAGTCTAGCCGTGAGAAGGAGGTGAGAAAAGAGAAGGAAAAAGAAATGTAGGAAGAGGACTCCTCTCACTCCAGTTTCAGCTCCAACCAAATCCGCTCTCACCGTCACCGTTCCCACACTTTGGGGAAAATGTCCCTTTCAACCTGCTGACTTCATTCCTGCAAAACCTGATTGTCAACTAGACCGAAGTTCTAGTCACTTTTACTTAATCTTATGTAGACCTCAAGCTGTGCTAAGATTTTTAGGATCACAAAACTCACGGTTCGAATCATATTACGGATTTTGAGTCACGGATCGGATCATTTTTCGGATCCGCAAAAAAAACATTTGTGAAAGGATTAAAGCAGAACTAATTTTGATTTAAATGCGCTTAACTTTTTTTTGTTTCTTTCGGTTTAATTTTGAATACATGTAATTTATTTGTACTTAATGTCATTAATTGTAATGGTTGTAATGGTAATCAAAAATCACTTTTGATTACAAATGGAACACTGTCTTGTGAAAAATGTGAAAAATGATTTTGTTGGTGGTAAACAAAGAATGGTCTATTTATTTGTTTAGCCTTATTGTGTACTCAGTGCCATTGAAATTGTAGACTGAATTCTGATTCTAATTTGATTGGGCAGTAGTGGCCTGTCTGTCCGGTGGGAAAGTTGACGTACTGTAGTGAAGTGACACGTGGCCAAGAATGGTGACCCCCATACTCGGAATTAGTGCGCACGCACACACACACACCCACCGTGAACACACACCCGGAGCAGTGGGCAGCCATTTTTTTTGCTGCGGCACCCGGGGAGCAGTTGGGGGTTCGGTGCCTTGCTCAAGGGCACCTCAGTCATGGTATTGAAGGTGGGAGAGAGCGCTGTACATTCACTCCACCCACCTACAATACCTGCCGGTACGAGACTCGAACCCGCAACCTTTGGGTTACAAGTCCGACTCTCTAACCATTAGGCCACGACTTCCCCCGACTGTAACTGCATGTAGCATCACCGACTTGTGCCACAAAACTATTTTTTAAAAGCACCAAAGTTTATTCATAATTGTGTTTAATTGTGTTTTAATCTGGTGTACTCCTGCCTTATTTTTACTGTTTGAAGGAGGGATAAATAATTAAGGAAGTAAAAAAAAGCTACTTGCGTTGAAACTATTAAAAGAACTTGAAAACAAATGAAAAATAGAAAAATAAATGTGCACTGAAATAGTAAAACTTTTGAGGTGTGTTTTTTTTTTAAACTATTGGCAGCTACATATTGAGACTTTGTGCTTGTATATTTGCTTCCTTAGTGAGGTAACAGGTATCTCAGTGTATATAAGGTATACATTTTAGTTTTTGAGAGAAAACCAATGTGACTTAATTTTTTTTAAGATCATTTCAGCAATGCGGTTGTCCTTCACTTGAGAGTGCAATTCTGTACTGTGTTTGGTGAAAGATAAGCAAGTGTTGTATTGTGGATCTGATTTTTTGAGCCTAGTGTTGCAGTGCTTTCCAAAGACATAATTAAAAAAATAAATAAATCAAAGCTGGAAAAAGATAGGTAGATGTGCCCACGTCCAGGAGAGCACAATAAATGGTATTTTCCTTTCGCTCACTTTATTTTTTTACCTTTGCTGTTTTAGCTAGCCTAATCATTTTAAGTTTTAAAATGTATCTAAGTTTTAAAATTGTATCTAAAATGTATATAGCATAATTTTATTTTTGTTTGGATGAACTATTGTTTTGTAATTAATATCAACGTTATTTGTATATGACCTTTTATATTGTTAATCGTGAAATAAAATGTTATTAACACTTTATTTGAGGTTATTGTTTTGAGAAGTTGGGAAGTTTATATAGAATAATAACAGAATTTGAAAATCCTTTATGATTTATATAACCTTTATGATTTTTTATGTATGCATGGTTATTGTAGCCATGGTAACCACAAATTAACCATGGTTTTGTTACTTCAAATAATAATTTACAAAAGTATTGCGACAATATTTTTTTGTGGTAATAAAAACAGACCTAAGCGAACCACAGCCTTTAAAATGACTTAAAATGCATTATATAAAAACAAAGAGGCAATAATGATTGGTTAATTAATAATAATAATATAGTCTTTGGTAAAGCCTTGCCGGTTACCAGGCAACGCACAGACTAAAAAGCTGGTCTGGAGAGTGGAGCAGAGCAAAAGATAACTCCCCTACCCCTCAAAGCTTTCTGCAAGCACTCGGCTGAAACTCCACTCCGGGTTTTCCCGCCCACTTCAGCTGATGAAATTAACAAGCTACAAAATCGTCTTCGCAGGGCCGCTGCTGGCCAAATGGGTGCCCTAAGCAGAATTGTATTATTGTGTCCTCTCCCCCAAATATTATGAAAGTAAAAAAAAAAAACTTTTACAGGGGTCAAAATAGAACTTTAATAAAATATAAAAGTAAATTAAATTGTATTGTGTAGGCTACAAAAAAATTAAAGATATTTGAATTAAATGATTGGTCAATATTAAACATAACAACAGCAATTACCAGGTCTTTGGAGCTCTTTGCTGGCATTTGTAATATGTAATTTACATAAATTGTTTATTTTGTATTACATTATGTATTTTAACAGTGTATTCAATAAAACCATATTATTATTATGAATTAACCAATCATTATTGCCTCATTGTTTTTATATAATGCATTTTAAGTCATTTTTTAAAGGCTGTGGTTCGCTTGGGTCTGTCACAAAAAAATATTAGCTGAATACTTCGTAAATTATTATTTGAAGTAACAAAACCATGGTTAATCTGTGGTTACCATGGCTACAATAACCATGTTTTTTTTATTCATAGTAAAGCCATGGTTAATTTTTGTAAGGGAATATGGAAACTAGGCCTAAAAGAGAGAATATTAAGGCAGATGCGGTGGTGGTGGTGAAATTATTACTGACATTATAACACGTTATTAATGTCAACAGTTAAAAAAGTTTCACAGGATTATGACCGTACCTGAAAGTGATGCACGGGATTTATCTTTTTATTTTTTTTATTATTTTCTGTTCTTTTCTTTTCTCAGGCATAGTTCATCAATTATGATCGATAATTTGCAGTCAGCCGCAAACATGAGGTGAGGGCGGGCGCGGATGCGGGAATGGCGCGTCACGTGTGCTTAGCCTATACTGCCAACTGCATTCACCTTAAAATGCATATATATATATATCAGAATCAGAATCAGAAAGAGCTTTATTGCCAAGTATGTTTGCACATACAAGGAATTTGTTATAGTGTCACAAATTTCCAGTACACGGAGACGACAACAACACACAGATAATAAAAATGAGATGTGAATAAAATACACATGCATAAATATAAACCACAAAAAAAGAATAAATTGTATGTACAGGTGTGGTATAGATAGGGATGTACTAGGGTTTTGGGTGATAAATAATTAGAAGGTTATTGCGCATACTGTACTTTAATTAATGTCATATGTATGTCATATATATTAATGTCAAACATATATATATATGTTCATGTTTACATCTTTTATTTATGTAGTAACACTTTACTTGAAGGGGTGTGCATAAGACTGACATGACACCTACATAATCATGACATGGCACGTGTCATGAATATGAAGGTTTTATGCATGTTTATGACAACTGTCATTAAGTGTCATTCACTCAGTTATGTCATTTTTAATGCAAATATGACATTATTTGACCTAACCCTACCCCTACCCTTACCCCTAACCATAGCCCATAACAAAGACATCTCAAACAATGTCATCTTTGCATTAAAAATTACATAACTGAGCGAATGACACTTAATGACAGTTGTCATAAACATGCATAAAAAACCTTCATATTCATGACATGTATCATGTCATGATTATGAAGATGTCTCATGTCAGTCTTATGCACACCCCTTCAAGTAAAGCGTAACCATTTATGTAAATGTATATGTTAATATTAATATAGAACGAAATGTTTTTTTTTTAAATATGTTTTTAAATGGTAAAAAACATCTTTTGTTGATCCAGGATTAACAGTACTGTCCAAAAAATAAGACTAAACCCAATCCCTACTCCTAAACCTAATCCTACCCATAATGTATTCCTAAAATCAGTGAAATGATAGCTGATTAGCAAGGGTGTAGAAGCACCTAACCCTGATCAGCCTAAAACAGATATTTCCTGAAAATTTATCCCTCAATTCTGATTGGTTAATTGGAATGTTGTACAAGGATGTTGATCCAGGAACATGTTGTAGGCTACTTGGTGAAATCACGGCCACCCCCCTGGGAGTTGGTGCCCTACGCAAACTGCGTACTCTGCGTCTTCGTGTATCAGACATTTGTATTGGTTACTAAAACCATATTGTAGATTATCTAGTGCACTTATTCCACGTGCATTAAATGACTCGAGAATACCCATAATACAATAACAGGGTTATTATCCCTCCTTTCACATGTAGTGGACTTAACGACATCTGCTATATAGGGGAATAGTAAATAGTTAAATGAGGGCATATGGGGAGCGATTCCAGACATTCTGGCACGAGACAAACCACCAAACACTCGAAAAATGCATACAATACATAACAAACTAAAAATAAAATATCAACTTAAAATAAATTAAGTCAATACACATACTCTTGGTTTGAGTTATACAAACAGAGAACAGTGCTAATTAAATATTCATGAAACGCCGCTCGGCCAATCAAATTCGAGGACTGGAACTAAACGTTGTATAATTCAGCTGTACTTCAGCTCAGTTTATTGTAATACATGACGCGCCTTAGCTTAATGTGCGACTGCAAAGAACCACTAGAGATGCACGTATGAGATGGGTTGTGCAGTGGAGAGTTCCTCAGAGCCTCAGTTTCCTCCTCCAGTTGCATCATTGCCCTGGTACTGAAGGAGCCGCTTCCTGCCGTCTGTCATCGCGAGGATGAGGATGAGGATGAGGATGATGCCGTTCAGTAGACGCAGGACGCACGAGCGCTCTTGAGCCAGATCACTTTAATCGATCGTGACATTGTGGCATACAACAACTGTACGTTGGCCAAGATAACGAAGGATTGAAATCTCGGCTTTCTCGCGAAACCTCTCCCGTTATTCTGGAGCAGAAGTCCCCCTTTGAGATGTGTATTGGTCTTTTTTTTGAAGATGTCGTCATCCTGTATGTTCATGGCTCGGTTCTTTGAAGGGCAGAGATGTGGAAGTGAAGGAGCACGAGCACGTTCATTCTCTTCATTATAACGCCTCATCTGTTGGATACCAATATAAGCCACGCTAATGGAAAATACGGTGAGTGCTGGATAGTATGCGCAGTGTTATCGAAGGCTTTTATGGCCATGTTATATGGGAAAGTGACTAATCAGGAACTTATTGACATTTAAATGGTTTACAGTGAGATGTAGTTGTATTACACAACGTGTCTGCGAGCATGAATTGTTTCACATCTGTGGTGTTTATAATAAGCACAATAACGCTCAGAAGTTATCACTTAAGATCACGGTAAAACCAAATGTTCAAATTATCCATACTAAAAAAATGAATTTATTTTCTAAATGATATTGTAAATATTATACAATTAATATAATCTGTACACATATTTTGTCAAGATAACTAAAATGTGTTTAACAACCAAAATAACTGGTTTTATTCAAGTAAAAAAGATTATTTATTATGAATGAATCAATGTGACTGTCACACCAACATCATTTTAAGGGGTCAGATCAGAAACTACGCAAAAATTAAATTATTTTTTTTAAATATATTTTTTTATTAAAGTGCATTTTTCTTTGATCTTTGATGTAAAATACTTACATTTAAAGAATTTATTCAAATAAATTCTCTATTGAGTCATACTGTTATAAAATGAAATTAGCATCAACTCACAGTTTGTGACTATTTGTATAACCGACATGGGCATAGAATGATATAATAGGGTTATAGGAATATATTATTAGATAATGTAAAATAAAATAAAACAAACAAATAAATACATACATAAATAAAAGCAGAATTTTTGCACCACAGTTTCAATTTCAGTGACATTTTGTCCCTTTTATTGGCATTTTGTACCCAGCCCTCATTAATTTGCTGACTCTAGTGTATATTTCAGCAGAACTGCTGCTGGAATTCATGGGGCCCAGGACCAAACTGGACCAAACTATTGGTGCCCAATGAGTAGGCTATACTATAAGACAGTGCTTCCCAATCTTTGTCCTGAAGTCCCCAAACTGCATTGCATACAACTACATTGTAGATGTCTCCCTAATCAAACACATCTGATTAATCTCATCAGCTCATTAGTAAAGACTCCAAGATCTCTAATGTTCATGTCACATATAGGGTTGTATTGGTATAATATTTTCACTGTATGATAACCATCACAAAAAATATCACAGTTTCACGGTATATGGTACCATACAATGTAATTTGATATTAATTCATTTGTAAATATTTCAGGTGCACGTCAGTTTTTCTAGGAAGAAAAATCTCTCAGTTGGAAAAAAAAATCATCTAATGCTGTAAACTATGCACTCTAAAAAATGCTGGGTCAAAACAACCCAATTGCTGGGTTTGTCCCTATTTTACACAGCATTTTTTTAGAGTGTGGGAACCCTCTCATTTGATACATAAATATAATATTACTATTACAATTATGAATATAATACCTAAAACGTATTATATTAATTTTATACTTATCATATTTACTAATTATATATAGCCTATTATATTCACACTCAATTAAAAATGCTGTACAGCCTACAGTACAAACATTTAAATTGCACACAAGGTATTTTTTCATAAGAACTTGTCTTCACGACTGATGGCATTCATAAATAATGAACAGGTTAAGTAAATAAGCACCTTTCTAGTGATTTTTTCTAGCTAACTAACAAACTATGAACATCGATCAACTTTTCTGAGGTAAGTATAACATTTACTCTTTTATTAAATGTTTTATTCGTACCTTTACTTGACTGAAAGAGGAGAGGCAGGATCCAAATGCTAGCAGTGTGAGGTTTAATAAAACAAGAGGTAATCCAGGGCATAACCAGGAAACAAGAACACAGGGAGAACAAGGCAAAGGAAAACACGCTACAACATAGCAAAGACAACAACTGACAAAGACTAAGGCTAACACGGGGGTATAAATACACACAGGTTAACAAGATAACAAAAGGGTGGAGCTAATCAATTACCTAGACAACTAACAAGAGGGTACCATGGAGACAAACGGTTATATACTGTAAATATCCCTGTGTTTCGTTTGGTGAAGGGGTCACAGGTGGTCTCGCTGGAGCAGCAGGTGGAGAGTGTGGAGAGGAGCATTGTGTTCCTTAGACAGGAGCAGCTGTCTCTGCTGCATGGACTACATCTGGAGATCCTGTCCCTCCAGAAACGCTGTACAGGTGTGTGTCATGACCATTCCCACAGTACAGCCACCTGCATTTGATTTTGAGTAGTTGTACACACATGAAACAACGCACATAATTGAATTGAGCAACATTTCATTTATCATAAATCACACCTAATTGGATGTCATTCCAAATATAATGTTAGCACGCAATTTAATTGTGTTGTCATGCCCTAGATGCACAGATCCAGTGCAGAGGAGAGCAGGGTTACGTTGCTCTCTTTGGTGGCACAGGCTCCACAGAGAGAACCATGGGTCAATAGCTTCCTGTCAGTGCAGGGTTTGTGTTTCCCCTCTCAGTAATATAGGACACGGCCTTTCTACCTGAACATTGCTGGAAATGTGCTGAGCCTGCTAGTGCAGAAAAACCAGCACACTGCATATTCATCTCTTTGCTGTTCTGCCCTGTAGAGCAACCAATCATACTATAGTTTAAAGCCTTCTCAGTATCTACAACACAGGAAATCTGTTTTTCTTTTGCAACCCTTTGATACATACACTACCATTCAAAACTTTGGGGTCAGTAAGATTTTTTTAATGTGTTTAAAGTCATACTCAACATTTATTTAGTCATAAATACGGTAAAAATTGTAATATTGTAGAATATTATTACAATTTAAAACAACTATTTATTTGATCAAACATCCATTTTAATATATTTTCAAATGTATTTGATTCCTGTGATTGCAAAGCAAATGATGATTTGGTGCTCAAGAAACATTTCTTATTATTATCAGTATTGAAAACACTTGGTCTGCTTAATATTTTTGTGGAAACCATGTTTTTTGGGGAGAGGGGATTCTGTGATGAATAGAAAATTCAAAAGAACCGCATTTATTTGAAAGAACATTTTTGCAACATTGTATGTATATTTACTGTCAGTTTTAAACAATTGAATGCATCATTGCTAAGTAAACGTATTAATTTCTTTAAAAAAAAAAAATCTGCCCCCATACTTTTGAATGGTAGGGTAAATTATATTGTTTATTTTAAATGAATTGGCTTTATTATTGCTTTATTTTACTTTTTATTGCTTTTACCTCCGTAATCTGACACATGTCCAAATGAAATGTAGGGTGGGACATTTTATGCACTAAACAATTAATTGAATCATATAAATTAATTAATTCCAAATCAGTACTAATTTAGAACTTATGGCATGATCTATAATGATTCTGGAATGTATCATTTTCAAAATGTAAAAAAAAACAAAAAAAGGCTCAGAAATAACTGTGTATCTGTGTGTTACTTACAGAACTTACACAGGAACTCAACATGAAGCCCCCAGGCAGGAGTGAAGCAGGTGAGCTCTGTTGCATTCCAAAAATGTTGTTTCATGTATTTGTGAATGGAGTTTTTGTATTTTTAGCACAGGTGTTCAGTTCAGTACACAGCAACAAGAACAACAGCTATAGCTAGTATTTAGGTTCTATGCTGGTAGATATTGATATTTGTTACTAGATCACATTTGAAAGACTTTGGCATACATGAAAACATATTAACTCTGATAATAAATACAATTATCCATTAGATACTTCTTTTGTTGTTACAATTCCATATAATTTGCTAAATTCTAGTGATTAGATTTAATGCAAATATAGTGTTTTTAATGACCATGTCTTATTAATGTGATAATAATTTATCTAAAATGCTAACCAATCACACATTAAGCGGCCACACAATGTACAAGCAGGAGACGACTCCTCTCCGTACTGCAGGTCATCCCTCTCTCCTCCAGCCTGACGCAGCCTCATCCTCCCACAAATTGATCCTGCCTGCGTTTTCGTCTACGCTTGCTGCACATTCCCAGTGGGGGTGTCCAATTACAGCATGTTTTTTTGCTGAGACAAAGTTGGGCAAGGAGACAGAGAGGAATATCACAAAAAAACTGAGAATAGAAAAGAAAAAAGAGATTTTTAAATTATAATCAGAGGTGGTGAGTTTTAAATCTGTTTGTACAAATGACTAATAATTTAGTAATCAGTTACCACAATATGAATTCATGGAATTTAAACTGCTCTTAACACAATCCTGCATTTTTATTATTCAATAGCATAATACAGAAGCAACACCGCTGGATAGCATTCAGCCACAGTAGTAAAGCAGTCAAATAACAACTTGGTTTTTATATATATATATATATATATATATATATATATATATCCTTATAAATATTCCACTGCACAAACTAAAAATCATGTGACACTGAAAACTGGATTAACGGCTGCTGAAAATTCAGCTTTACATCACAGGAATAAATACCTTTATTTTAATGTCTTCTCTACTGCAACAAAGCTGTGGCCTAACTGCAAAGTTTCCAGGATCAAGGTTGTTAGTGTGATATTTTTTTTCTACAACAGTTCAATAAACAAGAAGTTAATATTGTGTAACTTATATTTAAGACACAATATTACCAATATTTAATGTATTTGTGCTCTGCCAGTGAAGATAATTCCAAACGAAGGTTTAATAAACCTTTACGTTGCTGAACAACACATAAATAGCAGTTGCATTCCTGAATGAACTATTGTGTCCAAACGAATTAGCTGATTGAATGATTCAATGAGGTCTGTGTACTTTTGTGTCTATTCATTTTTTTGTTTTTTTAACCCAGAAATAAAATATGGAAAACGTGTTTTTTCCTTAATGGTTCAAACACTGATGAATAGAGTAAGCAGACACAAACTAATTTTAATTTTTCAAAATTCGTATTTCATTAAAAATCATAAAAATGCTTGTTTTTTAATGAATATAAATGTTAAATTTAGTTTCTAGCTTTTTTTACTGTCTCTATACAGATGGCCTAAGCTCCCTCTCGCGCTACTGACGTGGCTACCTCTAATCTATTTCTTTATGAAAACCTTTGGCTTAGATATTTTTGTGATCTTGATAATTGTTCACGCCTAAAAAAATTACATTATTACATATGTCTTTGCATTTAAATGTATCCAGGACCAGTTCTACGGGAGTGTTAGGGGGAACGAAATGAAAGCAAGAGCACCTCAGTTGAAGCTGTAGAAATAGGATATACTGGCGAAACATATTTTCCAGACGCTCCAGTGTGTTTGAACTTTGGAGAGCTTCAAAGGTTTCTATTTTCAGCGTGGAATCACTGACATTTCTGTTGATTTCTTGAACAAAATGGCTAAGCTGAGGCATTAAGTTAGAATCCATTCACCGCTCAAAACACCACAGTTTTGATCAGTGCTGCACGCTCGGGAATCTCTCATTATAACAAACAAAAAAAGATTTAAATAACAAATTCACTGTGCAGTGTAGAGCTTCATTGATTATAACGGAACTTTTGGAGATAGCGATAAACTGAAATGAGTGACACTTTTTAGTGATTATACTCTTTGACTATAATCCATTCAGAATTTGAATAAGTTTTGTTTTTCATGATGCTACTAAAAGGACCAGTGACCTCTCACATGCTGCAAAGTTTTGGGAGTGACATTCATATGTCAAAAATATGTCAAAAGAGATGTACATTAAGGCTAGAGCACCCTCAATTATTTCAGAAGCACCCTCGGTGATTTGATTCTGGTGACCGGGCCTGCCTGTATCTGGAGAAGTAGGAAAAATCATAATCTTATTTATTTCTATGTTATATTTATACAGTATATTTACCCCATATATTAAAGCCTCATGTGTAGCGCTCGTACTGAACATGCATTGAGCGACCATGCATGGTCCTCTCCAATACCGTGACCCAGATAGCACACAAAATTATGACTAAATTATACCCCAATATTTAATTTCATGATGATAAAGTTCCCAGAATTCTGCAATGTCTATTTTAAAATCATATAATGTAATGAATTAGGTCTCTGCATTGTTCCAGAGACGGCTCTAGCGGGAGAATTAGCCTACTTCTAATTTGGCCAAAGAAAACTTGTAAAATTTACATTTTTCTATATTAATTTGTGCATTTTGAAAATTTTTGTTAAAGGTGCTAAAAGTCATTAAAAAAATCTGAAAAGAAGTCAATATTTTACTTTGTCGGGCAGCGTTTTGTGTGTACAGTTCTAATTTAAATTTAAAAATACAACCACCATTCTTTTTTCATTTTATTCAGTCATGGTTAAAAAAAAATGAATGGACACAAAAGTACACGGACCCAATGATTTACTTATGTCGCCACCTACTGACCTAACAATGTATCCTACAGTCACGGTAAAATACACATTGCCAGTGCACATAATAACAGTATGTTCAGAACGCAGATACACAGACAAGTAAAATTTACATTTTTCTATATTAATTTGTGCATTTTGAAAATTTTTGTTAAAGGTGCTAAAAGTCATTAAAAAAATCTGAAAAGAAGTCAATATTTTACTTTGTCGGGCAGCGTTTTGTGTGTACAGTTCTAATTTAAATTTAAAAATACAACCACCATTCTTTTTTCATTTTATTCAGTCATGGTTAAAAAAAAATGAATGGACACAAAAGTAGACGGACCCAATGATTTACTTATGTCGCCACCTACTGACCTAACAATGTATCCTACAGTCACGGTAAAATACACATTGCCAGTGCACATAATAACAGTATGTTCAGAACGCAGATACACAGACAAATGGAAGAGTGAAATATTTAATGCTGAAATCATTTTATTTCTCACGGACAGGAAAAATTATCTTCTGAAGAAACTGCGGTGCATCAAAAATAGAAACAGGGCGTGTTAACTGATGCTGCGTTGTGACTACCGAAGCCTGTTTACAATGTTATACTTCTTTGCTGTGAATGATTTTTCATCTGAGATCAAACAGATGATCAGCATGTTTTGGATGTGTTAGTTTAGTCTTCAAAGAAGCCCAAAGGAACAAACACTGTTTGATGATGGAAATTATTTCATAATTTACAAGCATATTGCTTGCACAATGTGAATATTAAATGAACAATACTCATCTTTTTTTATGTGTATCACTTCTTATCTGCACAAATGCTTTTGTCAACTGATTGCTGTCAACATCTCAGTTTCATTACACATTCTATTAAAAGGGTCAGAGGCAGCAAAAAGTGAACTCAATGAGGAACAGTGGAGAGATCAGATTTAGGGATCGGATAACACAGCATTTTCTATAGTCACATCATGATTCATCTCAGTCTGGATGCATGGGGTGGGACTGATAGGCTGGCTGTGAAATCAGGACAATCTGGACAAACTGATGTGCTAGTGTAGTGCAATAAAATAGAAAAAACACACACACAAGTGAGACAAAAAAGAAGGAAAGATGTTGAGCTCACAGCAAAAAGTCATCAGGTTCATGTGGATCAGGTGTAGAATGTCTGACACTGATTCCTATAACTCATTTTTGGTCTACTTAGCCTGCCATTTTATCTGAAAAACATTACATTAATGTGAAGGTAAAGATGCCTTCAACTGGAAAATACATTTTAGCCTTCATTTGTTTAATTATAGTTAAATGACCTGTTAAACACCAGCTGCTCTTCCATGCTTCGAATTAATTCTATGACACATTTTCTCACTCATAATTTACAGTATATAGTGTCAGATACATGGAATTTACAGTAATATAAGAGTGATTTAAGATTTGTTAATAGTGCTCTATACTTTTACATTTATTGATTTAGTAGAAACCTTTTTCCAAAGTGGCTTTCTAATGAGAATAAAATTATTTACTTCACATTTGCTCTATGCTTTGAGGGCACAGTAGTCAAGCATGCTTAGGGAGGTCTTGTCCTAGACATTCAATGTGTCTGATAACCCTGAACAGATGGCACACCATGCCAGTAGTCAGACCAGAGTTGAGATTAGTTGATTTGGATTTGGTCAGTAAATCCCGTAATCCTTGGGAACAGAAGAGCCTTTTGTCTACTTTCCTCTCCCACATCCACTTACCTTTTAGATCGCAGATTAGTTAGGAATTTGGTTTTACGGCTAAATCTGATTTTAGATGGAGGGCTTGTTCATATTATTCATGCCGGTTTCAAATCACAAGGTAGATTATACATGATACTTCTGAGTCTTCACTTTTTCTGGTTGATGTTTATGCTGCATGTAAAACATGGGCTAAACTCTAGATGTGAATTACAGGGAGGTTTGATTCCCCTACTTAAGGCTTGAACTCACCACACTGTCAGTAAATATATACTGAACAGAGGGTATATGAATCCAGACACAACTTTATTTGGACACAGGGCGAGATCAGGAGAAAACAGGTGAGTATAGCAAGCATAAACTGAATGAGCAGAGTATTGATGACGAATAGAACAGTCCTGCTTTGTCTAATAGATGGCGATAGAGACGGAGAAGCACACACTTCAACAATGGTATCCTCAGGTAAATAGTAACTGGAGATATCTTTGAGAACAGACATAGGAGTCCCAGGAATCTTCACAGAGACCAGGTAAGTGAGTCTTTCCTAGTTCAAGTCCAGGCTGACTGAGGCTGAGGTGTGTGCTTAAATAGTGTGCCATGACATTGTAATTGTTGACAGGTGTGGGTAGTTAATATTCGGGTGATTGGGAGTGCTGGGTAGTGGAGGTGAGAGAGTCTGTTCGATCTGTGACATTACTCCCCTCTACATGGTACGCTCCAGCGGACCGAGGACCCCGACGTCACGGTGACCTACCCCATGCTCGAGGAGCTGGA